AGAGAGAGGAGAGAGAGAGATGAGAGAGAGAGAGGAGGAAGAGAAACGAGTACGAGAGAGAGAGAGAAAGAGAGAACGAGTACGAGAGAGAGAGAGAACGAGTACGAGAGAGAGAGAGAGAGAGAGAGAGAGAGAGGAGAGAGAGAGAGAGAGAGAGAGAGAGAGAGAGAGAGAGAGGAGAGAAGAGAGAGAGAGAGAGAGAAGATAGTCCTTTCTACCAGAAAACTTTTTGCAACATTCTCATGTGCCTAATTATATTTCTTGTAATCAAATATCACTTCTTTTCAATTTGCAAGTAGTTGTAAAACTGTAAGTCTGCCAAAACATGTAAGGTTTTGTTTGACCTGTCTATTCCCTACAAACCTATCCCAGCCCATCCCTTCCTTGTGCCTAATACGAATCAAACATTCTATACTGACGAGAACTCTTCACACACTAATACCTATAGATGTGCTTTTGGTTTGACCATGTCCACAAAATATCCCAACAGCCGCAGATATGCCCTAACCTTAGGGAAAGGATTAAACTATTAGAGGCCTGGCTTTCAGGGGATAAGCACAAAAGTCACTGATTTTGCCCTAAAAAGGAAAACAAAACAAAAGAAAAAAAAAAAAAAATCAAAAGTTTCTAAATTCAAAACCTCAAAAATATTTTCTTGAATTATGTAATTTCTGATATTTGCTGAGAGATTTTTTTCTTCTTTTTTTGTATGGTCCTCCATACAAAAGTGACACAAAAATTTCAAAGTTCCGCAATGCCCCTCACTCCATTCAGCCCACAAATGGACTAACTCTGTGATTCTTTGCCCTGCTCCCTATTGAGCACTGGACGACGACCCCGTCTAGCAGTTGGAAGGCTGGAAGGCATGTCAGACTGATGGATATTTAACACCCAATCAAGATACTGGCGGTGGATGTTGCGCACTGTTGAACGACTCAGGTGCTTGTTTAGAGTCTTGGAGAGCTCCCGTGCAGCCTTAGCGGCTCCCATCGCTGAGCAAGCCCTGCCAATCTGAAGGCGTTCCTCAGGTGTCCAACGGTTGTAAACACCCCGGCACTTGGCCAGCGCTGTATGTTCACTTGCTTCCATCTGTCAATTGATGGTCACCATCAAATTTGCTGGTTCAAAAGAGGTTTGGCTGCATACTATTTCCTATATCAATTTTCATCGTGTCAGCTGGTTGCTATGACAACTTGTCAATGATACCCCACACAGTATTATATAAGCATATTATAAACTCATTATGGTGTTTTCATGAATGCACTTTTCTATATCTCAGTTGATATCAAATGTTACCCAATGCATGAAAAAAAACTAATCATCCAGAATCCTGTATGTTTTTAGTATTATTATCAAACACAAACACAAGGATTATATTAATAAACATGTATAACATATGCAGATTAATAATATGCATATCATCACAACATATAAGCTGTTCCTGATTACTTTATATTTTGGAAACATGAATCCCATTCCTGTATTGTCTAGACTAAGGACAAAAAATAGAATTTTATTTAATCTGCTGCTGACAGCCAATGGCTATATTATCTTATTTTTTTACTATTTCATGGTTAGTAGATTCTCTTTTGAGCTGAAGGTATATAAATTTGGATCTAATATATTTTGATTACATTTTCCAAACAATATAATGAAAAGTGCCCTCATCATACATTTATGAACCTTATCTCTGTTCCATGGACATTACAGTAGAGATATATGCTTTCTTTCTTTTCCTCAAGATAATGGAGAAAGCAATACTGCCTGTTTTGTGATTTTTCTTTGGTGGAAACTTTACACAAATAGAAAATAATGGCTCATACATAGGCAGTGATTAAAAATAATAATAATAATAATAATAATAACTGACAGAATCACATGCTATATTTCCTTTCTTAATCATCTCTTTATCTAACATCTTCCCATTGGTTATCTTCTTGGGGGGGGCTATGAAAGACATACCAGTGTTAATAAAAAGGAAGATATTTAAATAAGAGAGTAACGTCTGTGAATACTTTGGTACATAGACTATAGTGTTTCACTTGTCATTCTTATGATTACTAAAAAAAAATAAAACGTATAAAATTATCAATCTGTACAGGTATGACTTTACCTCAGAGAGGAAACAAAGGAAACTAATTATCAAATAAAAAGTGAAAATCACTAATAGGATGTCTTTCTGGAAAATATAAATTTTCCTATCATGAAATAAACAACAAATGCCATTTAAAAGACTGAATTTATTTGTCTTTCTAGAAATTAAATAAATTACCATTATCAATTTTGATCACAAATAATACTATATATCTATAATGTATGTACAATAAATATCAACAATCTAAAATTTTGGACACAAATTTTGCTGATTTTTTTTTTATTATATCTTACCATTAAGCATTAAACTCTAACAATATAAATATAAACATATTCTGACTATACAAAAGCTTTCCCTGTATCACTATTCCTTTACTTTCTATGTACCTAATAGAAACATTTATGATCTTACAAAACAATAAATACTTCTAAATAATTACAATAAATATAGTTTACCGTGACAATGGCAAATAAAGATATAAAGGTGAATGAAGAGTTTAAAATCCCATGAGATGAAATGGACATATTTTAATGAAATCTCTTGCATTGTCATATCATAGGCTATACATTCAAATTTCAACAGAGTATGAATACACTGACTAATGATGTGAATATTGGATTTCCTCATTTTATATATTCATGAAAACCTTTTTGTTTTATGAGTTGAAGTACTAAGAGCAAACACCGATTTGTAAAAATTGATGAAATGGCATAAGGATAACTATCCTGTGCTATAGTTGTGACACTTATCTGGCAACTTAGTGGTCAACAGCGCATTTGATTTTATTAAACATATAAGACACAGCTGTTGATTAGCCCATATATACAGATAATAACAACAAATACTGTCAATTATGAATGGCAGTACTTGTCACTGCTTCATGAATTAATGACACCAAATGTTCTGTTGACCACAAGGTTGCCAGGATACAAAAAAATAATCTTGAGACAAAAAATAATAATTCAGAATATAATAAAATTGATAACCCAGTAAAGAAAACATGAATATACACACTGATGGTTCAATTTCACTTCTCAAAGAATCAAAGGGCAACATATCCTTCACTAATCACTGTATTTATGACTGACTTCTTGAATGCAATCAACGCAACACTTAAATGGCTGTTAAGTCCACATTTTTTCTCCTTTCCTTCAGATATGTAAAGAACACATCAATCCTTAATCTTAATTTCATTAATGGATCAATGAGCCATATGATTTCCTCCTTTACAATCTAAATATACTCCTTAGAAAAAACTGAACTCATTATTCCTTTGTCTTCACATGTAAAGGTCCAAAGAGCAAATATGTTTTCTCTGTCTGTTGTTTAACATTTGAAACAAATAAATGTGCTAGACATTAAAGGTCATATAAAACTATGGTTGAGTATTGTGTAGGAAAGGGTAAAGAGGAGTTAAAAGATTAAATAAAATGTGTTAGCTGTCAGATAAGAGAGCATTATAGGATAGTGTGGTAGTAAAAAGGGAAAAGACAGGAGTTAAGTGAACTTAGAGGAGAGAGATTAGAAGAAAAGAGAGGGTTAAGAGGGGTAGGGAAATTGAGTGAATTATAGCATATTTGTCAGTGGGAAGGTATAGGAAAATGTTCAAGGAAAACAGAGATGCCTGTTGGAAAAGTAGGAGAGAATCTGGGGAAGGCGGGGGGGGGGGGGGGTGTTATGTCAAAGATTAGTGTTACAGGAAAATATGGTGGCAGAAAGGGAAAAGTGGGAAGCTAATGAAGTAGATCAGGGATTAGTAAAATACGAAAGGTTAAAGGGGTAGAGCAAATGAGTGAATTGCATTGTATCTGTGACTGGGGAAGAATGGGATATTGTTCAAGGAAAACAGAGCAGCTGTTGGAGAAGTAGGAGGAGAAGAATCCGGGGGATGAGAAAAGGGACTGGGGAAGGTGATGAAGTATCAGGAAGATTGTCTGGAGGGGAGGAGAAGGACACTGTTTTGAGTATTCAAGTGGGAGCGGTAGAAAGAGTGGGGTATGTTGGGAGGTGTAAAAGGACACAAAACATTTTTTTCAGATATATTTCACAAAATATTTTGTCATAAATCACTGATATAATTTTTTTCTGATATTGGTATAAAAGTTTTCTTTGAACATTAACAAACTCATGTCTATGCACAATGTCTTAATCAAATGCCGTATGCATGATTGCAATAAGCAAAAGTCCATTAGTGGCGTACCTCCCCACGTGTTTTAACAGGTCTCGCGTGTGCCGCCTGAGAACTAACCATAGCTGGGCTTTAATAGTCATTTGGTAGTTTCCTCGTTCATGTACCTATACAATACGTTAGCTAATTCAATTTGATCCAAAAATTTTCAACCCTCGAGACAGTCCCCTTAACCAGGGGAATACCATGCCCATGGCTCCCGGAAGTCGTTCATGACTGACACAAAGCCAGCCTTTCATTCTTTCAGCACAGCTCTCACACCTTAGGAATGGGATAGAAGAAGGGGATGAAGAAGATACTCAAGAGGAAAGGGGAGAAGAAAAGACCAAGCAAAATTAGTTGAGGCGAGGCCTGAGGCCCAAGATAGGGGTGATCCCCTACATTGGGCCTCAGTCTCCATCTCCTAAGCTCTCCCACAACAAAACGAGCAAGGTATAGGGAGGATTTTCTCTATCTGTATCCTTCTCTGCTTCTCTTTCTGTGTGTCTCTGTCTTTCTCCCTCTCTCTTAGCAATGTTGTTCTTCCAACATTTGCAACTGAATTATCCATCCATCACCAATCACTACACATTTCCAAATGTTCTCATCACCCACACTTTGTTCTCTTACTCCCAGAAAGAATGGAATTCCTCAGTCCTTTTCAGCCATAAATACAATGCCTATATTCTCAAAAGAACAGAAGAAACAACGCAGCACTGGCCTCCAATGATGACAAACAAGAACCAAACCATCCAGTAGACGGCTGGATATCCTCCTCTCATTGTCCTTGCCTCCCTTGAGGGAGACTCAATGGTGCATTGACCAGCTGCCGTTTTGCCAGCCTTTCCAGGTACTGCTTATGGATATTTTGGACAGTGGACTTGCTCAGCTTCTTGTTGAGGGTCCTGGAGAGTTCCCTGGCAGCCTTATTGGGCCCCATCCTTATGCATGCCTTGGCAATCAGGAGCCGTTCCTCGGGCGTCCAGCGTGTGTAGCCTCCACGGACTCTGACCATCGCCGCTGCTGCTGCTGAGCCCTCAAGTGCTACCATCTGTTGATTGAAGGAGGTATCACATCCTGGACTTTGGGCTTTGGACACTCCAAACACGCCATTCTGGATTTTTCTACCTCTTCTTGGTTTTCATAAAGGCGGGCTAGAGCACATCATCCTAACCACTCTTTCTGGACAGGTATCAAATTGGACTCTGTTTTGGTCAAATATGTGGGACTGTGAGAGCATAATAGGCCAAGAGGCCACGGTAACGATACTTATCTTGAAGCCTAATGATACTGGTGTTCTCTTCTAATATGACTCATATAAAGAAAAAAAATATTTTTCTTCAAAAGAATAATAAATGACACGGGGAAAAATAGAAATGAAAGGCAAAACGGAAAGACAAAAGCTGAAAAAATGAACAAATCAAATAAAAATTCACCAAGATCCCTAACAAATCCTCATTTGCACATTAATCAACTTCAATCAAATTAGATAGAGAAGCAAAAAAAAAACAAAAAAAAAACATCATTACACATATGGTAAAAACATTCCTATCTTTTAAACAAAACCTAAAGATACATTCAACCTTTACTTTCTCACAAACTCTTAATCTCTCACCCTATTACTCTAAAACTGAAAATATTAAATATAAAATCATCAATTGACTTTATTGAACACACAGTGAATAAGCCCTGTTACTTCAGTTTATGTTATATTCTCCTTGAATTTTCAGTGTAGAGTATGAATATCATTAACTTATCTTCCTGTATGATTTCTACAGAGAGCAGGTATGAGATTATGAAAAAATCTTGGTGATTGCAAGCTGCTACTCCACAGATTTTAAGTGAAATGTGGCACCTTGGCGAAATCTAATTCCATTCGGGAACTTGACACTAAGGAAATGGATTTGCTGAGCAACAATAAGGTGTCTATGAAGTGACAAACTGCATATATACTTGTGGCAGAAAAGGAGAAACTTAAAAATCTGACTGAAAACTATGACAAAGATGAATGCTACAAAAATGACTGAAGTTACAAATGAGTTAGGTGTGTAATTTTGGACACAAAAACAATCAAGGAACTACTGTGAGTGACATCAAGTGGCAGCTGTCTTGGTGCTATCAGTCTCCAGACTAGTACGGAAGCCAAATACACACATATTTCAATTAGGGTGAAATTAATGACTAATCCTATGTCACTAAGGTCACTCTTCGAAGTGAGTGGTCCTGTAATGACCCCCACAAGTAATGGATGCCAGAAGTGTTTAAAGATACTGGTTTCTTACAGGCACAGCTACACATACTCCCCTTGCCTCATGGTGATATGGTGTTTGCATTTCCAAGAGTGCACTGCTGGAGAGACTCTCAATTATCTAAGTCTAACGTTATTCAAGACATCAACAATTTAGTACTTAGGAACAGGTGTCCTTTTCTCTAGACCAGCTGATAAAATATAAAATCACTGGGAGATTTCACTGACACATTCTGGAATGTTGATCATGGGTCAACATTCAAATAGCCTGATGGCATCATACCTTTTATAATATTTGATGGATTTGGATTTTTGTTCTTTGCTTCCAAAGAAATAACTTAATAGACATGATATCAAATAGGGATGTGTTCCTGTTAGCATCAGGAAGCTGCATTACTCAATGCTGCTCATTTTCTTGACATGAATCCTGTTCTTGACAAGTTGAAAAAAAAAACATTGAGGGCAAAGGTTACAATCAGAGATCTATCAAGAGATTTAAGCAAAATGTTGAATAAAAGCCATGGGTAATTCAAAGATAATCATCTGTGACACAGACAATGGTGCAAAATTGGGGTTTGGTAAGCACTACTTGACAATGGAGGTCTTTGGATGGGTATTTGGTTCACTGCATATCCTGTGTCCTTGACCATGCCCTACAAGATTTATCTCATGCAGAAGGTGAGAGTAATCAAGCAGGAACAAACTGAAAACTATATGGGAATACAAGCTAGCACAATATGCAAATCAAACAATCCCTATGAACTACAACCTCTCCTATTTGTCTACACCCTGCTGTAAATAAGCTTGCTTTTTTGTTTCACTATGGCGGATTTTGGTTGCAGGTATTACAAGAGCTTAATTCTATGCACCAGATAATGTTTATTTCGTTGCGATATATCAGATACATGGTTTTAGTAGAGAACAAAATTAAGAAAAAAAATTATAGAAATATAGTTACTCTTTGAATATGAATGAATATGGGAATAGATTTCCATATAAAATCTTGTTTCCACTATATATGTGTAATTAGATGTATCTATATATATTCAAAGTTATAAATATAATATATAAATATATCGTGAGGTAACTCTATGGCACATAACAGTAAGGTGTGTGAAAGGGGAATGTGGGAGAAGATCGGAATTTATGATATATGACATACAGTACCAGAATTACTTCTCAACACTCACTATATTTCATTCATAAAAAACATAACTGTGACAGTTAGGTGTGCCTGCAAGGGGTGAGGTATGGGGTCGATATTTTGGGACTAGCAGAATGAAACTTGCTTATCAGTAGAAGATATAAATATACATTACATGTCTCTCATTCAGAACAAAAAAGTAAATAGGAAAAAAAACTAGTTTTTTGACAGGCCTTCCACAAATCTAGTGAAAAGTAAAGCATGCACAGCAGTCTCCATATTATGAAGTGAGAACATTCAGCCCACCGCTCTTCTATCATATGAAAAGAGGCATAAAGGAATAGTAAAACCAAGGCATTTGTCTAAGGAAAAAAGTACCAAACACAATACCACAAAGCCATGATACCACTGCATAACAAACAGTGAGCAATTCATCATGGACTTGAAGCATTCACATAACACTGACATTTCTATCTATTGAAAAAGAAAACAGATATCAAATCCATTACAATTCACAAAGAGGATATGTACCACTGATCGGTATATTTGTTATAATGTAAATAATCATAATTTTTCCATTTCCTTCACTGAAAATAAAACTTATTACATAGAAATAGTTCCATTATATGTCCTATGTATCTTAAAATATATGATATAAAACCTATCTGCCAAAAGAATCATGGAATGTCATACTTCTATTTTTAAATCCATCAACCCATTATGGGGTATCAGTCTCCTTGATGGGGGGGTGAAAAAAATAACACCATACTATTAAAATCTTTATTGATGTACTTAATCATTACGGGAATAGGATATCATATACCGAAGAGTAAAACTGCATAGACAAAAAAGAAATACTGATAGAAAGCATTTCTATATATAGTAAAATCTCACAATTTCTAAAGATTACTGAATGAATAACAAATATGCTGTTGAGGTTGATGGCTGAGCTGCTGTGAAACTGAATAACATCTTCCTGATGTTCTTGTTTTAGGCTTCTAGAACACATATTCCTTTGGAATTTTGCATCATTCTCTACGACACGCTCCTGGCAGGTTATCTGAAGTCAGCCACACTTAAATGCACCAATCTGTATTCCTCAGGTGCCACTAATACCTTTCATATTGCTGAGTGACTGAAGTACTTCCTACTTGGCTAATGTCCTTTGATAAAAATGTTGGGATGTTTTAGGTTCAGGGCATAAGTGGTGCTTTGAGTTTTCCTCACTTAATGGACGGTGATAAAAAAGGAAGAGGGAACTGAATTCCTCTTCTCATTAGCACTCTTTCAGACAAAATCCATCACATTCATGCCAAAATATGGCGTTAGTTTCACTATCAAAACTCTGTTTATCTTAAAGATTTTTCTGTTGTGATGAGCAGTACCAAGACATTTTGTAATGTGCCTTGACATCCTTTTATTTCTGAACCATTTCCATCATCTATTTTTTTATCTTACAGATGAAATGAGCTGCCACCATCTGATATTCATGAAGCATATTTATATCCAATCTTGAGTGACTGCTTCTAAATTCAACTATTGCAGCTGCCTCCATGCCCCTCCCAGCAGGGCCTGAATCACAATGCCTCTCTTGCCATTCCATAGAACCTTCTGCACTTATTTTCTTTTCTTCAAGTCAGTTCATTTTCTTTCAATTTTTTTTCCAAAAAGTAATGTGATCAATAATTTTTACAGCCCTAGTTATCTTAGATTAAGGTAAATGCAGAAACTGTCCACATTTAAGGCCTTTTTTTCCTTGGCTTATTGATAATTGCCTGTTTTGTTTTTGTTTTTTCAGTGTAAAAAATAAAGTGGAAAAATTACAAAATCCTGACAATTCTTGAAACAAAATATAAAGAAAGCTGAAAGACTAACAAAAAAAAAAAAAAAGAGTTATTTTTCCATTCATCTTTAGAGTAAGAATATGAAAATGGCAAGTCATGCTTTTTGTTACTAAGAATTTGAACCAATGTTGTGTGAAGGATGTGAAATGCTATGAAATAATGTAAAATTTGCACAAGATTCTGATTGACATTTCCAGCTTGATATATTGTTTCCATGGTATTTTGTAGGAGTAGGAACTTAAAGAATGAAGATAGAATGCCTTTAAAGTATTCTAGTTCTCTTTCATTTCCACAATGACATACAAATCATCTAAAACTTCATTAGACTGCAGAGACTGCAATTTAGCTAGGAACCTCAGTTCATCAACCATCTACATCATCATCACTATCACATAAAGAAAAATGCTTCTCTGGGTTTTTTCATGAACATCCTTTTCAAACTTTTGCTTTTCGAAGCACAGGCGTACGAGTTTAAATCTCAATTTAGTTGTTTTTTGTTTGATGTAATGATGTAAATTTTCTGTATGTGTCTCCTTATATAGGGCAATTTCCACAACAACAGACAAGCGAGTACTTTTCTTGCAAAGTCTATGGGCAATAGAAACCCTAGAACAAGGCTGCTGATATTTTCTAATGTTGAAAAATATAAAAAATAAAATCAACTCTCTCTCTCTTTCGCTCTCTCTCTCTCTCTCACTTTCTCCCTTGCTCTCTCTCGCACTCTAGCACTAGCACTAGCTCTAGCGCCCACTCGCTTCTTTGCTCTCTTTCTCTCTCTCACTCCTTTGCTCTCTCTTTCTCTTGCTCCTTTGCTCTCTCTATTTCTCTCTCGCTCCTTTGCTCTCTCTCTCTCTTGCTCCTTTGCTCTCACTCTCTCACTCCTTTGCTCTCGCCCTCTCACACCTTTGCTCTTACTCTCTCACTCCTTTGCTTTCACTCTCTCACTCCTTTGCTCTGCTCTCTCACACCTTTGCTCTTACTCTCTCACTCCTTTGCTTTCGCTCTCTCACTCCTTTGCTCTCGCTCTCTCACTCCTTTGCTCTCTCTCTCTCTTGCTCCTTTGCTCTCACTCTCTCACTCCTTTGCTCTCGCCTCTCACACTTTGCTCTTACTCTCTCACTCCTTTGCTTTCGCTCTCTCACTCCTTTGCTTTCGCTCTCTCACTCCTTTGCTCTCGCTCTCTCACTCCTTTGCTCTCTCTCTCTTGCTCCTTTGCTCTCACTCTCTCACTCCTTTGCTCTCGCTCTCTCAAACTTTGCTCCGCTCTCTCACACCTTTGCTCTTGCTCTCTCACTCCTTTGCTTTCGCTCTCTCACTCCTTTGCTCTTGCTCTCTCACACCTTTGCTCTTGCTCTCTCACTCCTTTGCTTTCGCTCTCTCACTCCTTTGCTCTTGCTCTCTCACTCCTTTGCTCGCTCTCTCACTCCTTTGCTCTCTCTCTCTTGCTCCTTTGCTCTCACTCTCTCACTCCTTTGCTCTCGCTCTCTCAACCTTTGCTCCGCTCTCTCACACCTTTGCTCTTGCTCTCTCACTCCTTTGCTTTCGCTCTCTCACTCCTTTGCTCTGCTCTCTCACTCCTTTGCTCTTGCTCTCTCACTCCTTTGCTTTCACTCTCTCACACCTTTGCTCTTGCTCTCTCACTCTCTCACTCCTTTGCTCTTGCTCTCTCACTCCTTTGCTTTCGCTCTCTCACTCCTTTGCTCTCCTTCTCTCACACCTTTGCTCTGCTCTCTCACTCCTTTGCTTTCACTCTCTCACACCTTTGCTCTTGCTCTCTCACTCTCTCACTCCTTTGCTCTTGCTCTCTCACTCCTTTGCTTTTGCTCTCTCACTCCTTTGCTCTCGCTCTCTCACACCTTTGCTCTTGCTCTCTCACTCCTTTGCTCTCGCTCTCTCACACCTTTGCTCTTGCTCTCTCACACCTTTGCTCTTGCTCTCTCACACCTTTGCTCTTGCTCTCTCACTCCTTTGCTTTCGCTCTCTCACTCCTTTGCTCTCCTTCTCTCACACCTTTGCTCTTGCTCTCTCACTCCTTGCTCTCGCTCTCTCACACCTTTGCTTTTGCTCTCTCACTCCTTTGCTCTTGCTCTCTCACACCTTTGCTCTTGCTCTCTTCACTCCTTTGCTCTCACTCTCTTCACTCCTTTGCTTTTGCTCTCTCACACCTTTGCTCTTGCTCTCTCACTCCTTTGCTTTCACTCTCTCACACCTTTGCTCTTGCTCTCTCACTCCTTTGCTCTTGCTCTCTCACTCCTTTGCTCTTGCTCTCTCACTCCTTTGCTCTTGCTCTCTCACTCCTTTGCTCTTGCTCTCTCACTCCTTTGCTCTCGCTCTCTCGCACCTTTGCTCTTGCTCTCTCACTCCTTTGCTATTGCTAAAACATCTTACATCACATTCATTTTCCTACATCTTCTAAATATCCAAAAAAAGGAAGTATTCTCTGTTTCCCTTACAAAGGTCTGTATTTACATTGATCATCCTCATACAATGTATTTACAAATCCTGTTTGTGTTAACATATGTTTGCATCCCAATCTCAGTTTGCAGTACAGTGTATAATTTAATGTCTCCTTTGTAGTTTGAAGAAAAATAAAACTTCTGTCCCAGTGTTTTTTCCATCACTAAATATTCTTTTGTATAACATTATGACAATGTATATATATTTTTTTTCCTCTTTCCTTTTTGGAGAGAAATTTTAACTCATTCCACTGATAATATTTCTTGTTTCCGGCATACTGGTCATACAAAGAAATTTCTTATCTATATAAGGATATAAGGATATATAGGATTGATATCCTGGTCTTCAGTGTTTTAAGATGCACACAATTACACATGTATAGCTTTCTATAATGGCTTATGTCAAGAAAGAAAGTATCATGTGTGTTCACTGTAGGATTACAGGTGAATTAATAATGATAAACTATTAAAAGGAAAGTAAGATAAAAATATATAAAAAATGCAACTGCCAATGAAATAAATATAATAAAAGCAAGCCCAAGTACTTGTTTCTCTCATCTCAGGGTATATGTTGATTTTTATCTTTTTCCTTATTCCAGAAGAAGAAGAAGAAGAAGAAGAGGAAGAAGAAGAAGAAGAAGAAGAAGAAGAAGAAGAAGAAGAAGAAGAAGAAGAAGAAGAAGAAGAAGAAGAAGAAGAAGAAGAAGAAGAAGAAAGAAGAAGAAGAAGACAAAGAAGAAGAAGAGGAAGAAAAGAAACTCACACATACACCCGGATGAGTACACACACCCACACCCACACCCACACACACACACACACACACACACACACACACACACACACACACACACACACACACACACACACACACACACACATACACACACACACACACACACACACACACACACACACACACACACACACACACAGAAGAGAAGAAGAAAAAGAAACACACACACACACACACAACACACACACACACACACAACACACACACACACACACACACACACACACACACACACACACACACCACACACACACCACACACACACACACAAAAGAGGCAGGGATAAATGAATGAATATAAAGGGAAAGATTTTTTTTTAAAGGGAAAAAAAAAAGAAAAAAAAGAAAAAGAAAAATTGCTCTCCATATTTGTACCACCTAGAAATGCACACCCAAGAGAGAGGAGAGATCATACCCTGGACATGCAGTAATCCTAAAGTGAACACGCGGAAAGGAAAACTAGACACTGACCCCTTGTTGTGCTAGAAGCTGTGGCGTTTGCTGGCTTAACATGGGTGACGATGGTTGGAGGATGCCCACCCCACTGCAGCCTTCTCCAGAAGTCATGTCCGATTGTACTATGCCGTCTTGCCACTGTAGATGATAAATATACAAATATATAGTGATGTTGCATTCCCTTCCTAAAACTACAATAACCATACAATAAATAAAAAAGTAACACGACAAAAGATACTTATCAATAACTAGGATTAATAATACAACAATAAAAAGAAAACTGGGAAACAATATAATCTTCCCTGAACTAGGAACACTGATTTAGTACCCAAATAGAAAAAAAAAAAAAAAAAAAAAAAAAAAATCTGCTTTAAAATGCGGCATGAATTTTACACAGCTACACCAAAGGTTACAAATATGGTACTTAGCAAGAGAATGCTTAAACTTTTGTGTTAAAGGGGGCTTTAAATATTGGTGACGGATATCTGTGAGCATGTAGCAAAGTTCAGGGAAATAATTCTCCATGGATTTTGAAAAGCCAAGACTATGACACAACATTCTAGCAGCTATCATTATAAATCCCCTCTCTATCATGTCCCATGCAGCAGAATCGCATTCCACGGGATGTAGTATTGGAAGCACCGGCGAGTTAACCATTACCAATATGATGAGATCTCACCATTTGGCAGGCTGATGAACATGGAAAGTTTCACAGCACGGAATACTAAATGGAGATAGATTCATAGATTCCTCAGACTTTCCATGGGTATAAACTGAAAAAATCCACAAAGAGCACACAAACCTCAATCATCTCCGAAGGTCCTGGGTTCATTTCACTTGTCTGCAGTCCAGAGGTGTTGAGGTGTTCAAACTGTGGATCACTGTATTCTGCTGAGCCTGTGTGTCCTGATATACTGTCTCTACTACTACCTTCACTTTTAAAAGGGGCAAGCTGAGCATCGTATTCTACACTGTGATCCGTTCTTCCTATCTGAGCACCTTCACTGTCGACCATATCCTCGATAATCTCCTCTTTAATTTTCTGCAGCATAATAATCTTCCTGCTGTATGGAAAAAAGACAATGATAATGTTAGATATTACAGTATTAACAAACAATATTGATATGTACAGTAAATTTTCCTTTAATTATACATACCCCAATCTCAGATACTGAAAGAGGGTCCTGAGCTTCTTCCTGGTCTTTCCTGCGGTGTCCTTCTTCGTGGGTCACTTGTCTCCCTTTCTCAGTGGGGTTCAATCTGACATTGGGACTTGTGGATTCGTGCATCGTTCTGGTTGGTGTCTACAAGTCTTTCCTCTGTTCTGCGTCTTTTAGCAGGGTGTGTGGCTGCATCTCTCAGTCCCAGACTCGAGAGAACTTGACTTAGATTTAGCAGGAGCTGGGGGCGTGTCAGGCACTGCCAGGCCCTTGATCTGCAGGACCTCTGCCACTTTTATAAGCATAGCTAGGTTGCTCTGCGGCACCTCACGTTCCCCAGCATACATATAGCTCAACAGTGCCTCAAGTTCTCTAACTTAATGTCATTCAGCACAATCAACTGGATGTTTACATGGTGTTTCTTTCAAATATTTTTTCAAAGTATTCACTACATGTTGACAAGACTAATTTATGCAATGGATAAAAATTTCCCTCACAAGAAAGTGTTACATCTGTGTAGGTTTTCCTGTAAAAGGAGAAAAACATGAATCTTATTCTTCAATATCAAGATTTGGGTAAAAAAAAAAAACATGAACTGAATGCATTAAAAAGAAAGGAAAGAAAAAATGCATATTTGCTTTAAAGGATGTTACATATATACAATATTCCATACACATCAAATTATGTTTTTAAAAAAATGTACATATACAGTAAGTTCTTACCTTTTCTCTGCATTACTTAATATATCACAGAAAGTAGCATGGTGATTGTTCCAAGACAGGGATAGCATTCCATCACCCATCTTGGCTAAATATATCTGTTGCTAATATCTCCCAGACTGGCTTTTATCTCTAGAATGAAAAAAATATGATTAGGATATATTTTCAGAAATTCACAAATATACAGGAAACAAGGATGTTAAAAAAAGGTTATGTAGCATGTATGTAGTGACACACCTAGTCACACAAGCACATATTACCACTTTGAATATGCACTTCCATATTCTTTACCAAATTACTTGTTTATTATACAACTGATAGGTTTTATATGAGGTATTCCAAATGTCAAACTATTTTAAAATGGCTACAAAAAAAATAGTTATAGAAGGATCAATACCTAGAAAACAGTGTACTATAAAAGATTTTTTTCAGAATTTCAGAGCCAAATACGCCAATGCAGTGTTTTTGTAACAGAAATCTCCAAAGTACTGCTAAGAAATCACATCATAAGCTCCTACTGTATGGCAAATCGTAATGGGTATATAGCCTATCCCAGATTACAACCAATTTCTAAGAACTAAGGGGTCCAGGAAAGATGTTGCAATCCACCGTCAATGAAGATGATAATGTAATTTTTGAGAATATTTCATAAATGAAACTAGGTCTAAAAGTACAGACAATTATTTGAAAAGTATAGAATCATCTTATAAAATATTACTGACTACTGTCATTATTGCTTTGACATTTCATAGCATTACTATGTGACTATCAAGAACCATGATAAAACCCATGCCTAAATTAATACAGATCTGAATTTTCTTCTCATATTTAGATTGCAAATTCCCTACAGATTTCACATTTTCTTAATATATGGGCATATACAAGTGAGCACTGAAGCAAGATCAATCATAAATATGGCTTTTTTTAATTACAAATGAAGGCATGTTTGTCCAAAGGTGTTCTCAAAAACAACTGCAAGAAAATGTATTTTCAAAATGTTTGGTTCGTTTAGACTCTTACCTATAACATAAGCATGGATATGATCATGTAAATGCACTCTATCTCATAACTATATGTGATCATTAATGCATTAATGGGATCATATCAATACTATTATTATAGACGAAAGTTTAAACGGTCAATCTTTGGGTATGGGCTAAGCTAGGGCAAATCAAAGATGATATTCTTGTAGAAGACAAGAAGCTGCAGTTGTCGGTCAAGAAATAAGGTACAAACACAAATGATAATGGCACCAATAAAGGAAAAAGATTATGGAAAATGCCCCAACCCCATCTACCCTTCCCCAGGCAATGCCTGAAGGACGCACATAGTCATGGCAACTTAGAATGTTGAATAAAGTTTGTGGCATATAGTTGGGGACTTAGTCTCTGGTAATTGCAACTTTAGTGAAAAAAAAAAAATATATCCATATAAATTAATAAAACCTATCATAATAGCATGTTTTAGCCAATTGGTCTGAAAATTCCTCAACTGAGAAAAACAAGTTCAATAAAAATCTTTCACAAAGTACAACATGAAGCATTTCCAAACAACAGCACTTCTTCTAAAGAGAATTTCTAGCAATAAAACATACAGAAAAGACTTAAGGAAGAATAAACTGTGACTAACAAAAACAAAATGTAAAAAACAAAAGAAAAATGTCCTGCATACAAAAACATAAAAAAAGAAAGAAAAAAAAAAAGAAAAGATACAAGAACAAGGAACAGAGACAACTGTGAGAATGAGAGAGTACGAGATCATTGTAGATAAGCAACAAAAGGCTTTAGCTGGACTTTGAGGTTTCAAATAACCTAGAATATAAGGAACTATAGTGCCATCTTTTCTACAGCGACACCAAAAGCTGTCTCGTGATTGGAGGCAAGACACGTTGCAAAGGTGCGCCCACTTCTGTAATGTAATGGAAATGGTCATGGTTGACAGCTAGCTATTTTACTGTACTTTTTTTTTTTCATAAGTACACATTCTTTTGGAGTATAACATTCCAAGTGGGTTGTACTTTATCATAGATATCTAACATATCTAACATAAGTACGAAAATGCATGAAAATAACCGAGGTAGGAAGAATTCATCTAGCAACTCGATAAATGTTTACCACCTGCTCGATTCCTGTCGTGTGAGAGGTGCCCCATTTGCCGTTACACACAGGAAAAAACGGTACAGGTCTGACTGCTTTTCAAGATCTTTACAGAAAAGTATACTAAAAAATTATGCAATACTTTAATGAGTTTCTCTGACCTTTTGACAGATTCTGCAATATCTGAATGAGTACAAAACAAATACTTGACTGTGAAAATTATCTTCCTGTGTGTCATCATCGTTAATTCTTTACAATATTGACACACTCAACAGAGACAAATTCCCCACCTCCATTTCACAAAACTGCAAGAGTAGACATCGCTGGTGTGAAACCAGCCCATACATGGGAGGTTACTGCCACCTAACCCCAGCCAGAAAATAAAGAATCCTCCACATATTCACAGCAGGAGAGAGCATCAGACAGAAACAGCATCGAGCACTTACGATGTCAATCATATGCTCTTTCCTGCCATGAATACGTGGAGGAATCTCTGTCTTTCATTGCTGGTGTTGGGGGAGGGAGACCCACAGGAAGGGGGGTTGCAGGAGGCACAGCCCCCTGTATTAGACAATATAGTGACTGATTCTGTGTATGGGCCTGTTGTTCAAATTCTACCCTCAATTTCTATGGTTCCTTTCATGCTTCCCTTGCTATTGGGGCCAAGATTGTCGCTAGTGGGTGGGTTTCCACACAGCAATATCAAATACATTTAAACAGTAGAGAGTGAAAGGAATCCATCAATCCCAAAATCGTAGCTATAGCTAAATGGATCTATAGCGTAAAATAACCATAATTTTAAAATACACTTGCATTACTATTAACTGCATTAAGATTTCAAGTTGATTATTAGCTTTCCAATTTCAACTCTACCACTGATTCTCAGCATGAAATTGACCGGCTGCCGGCCAGTATCCTACCATGTCGTGACAACAGAAACAATTCTCACGACACAAAGACATAATCCATTTCGAAAATATGAAATACATCAATCCAAATGCAATTCACGCCCTCAAACAATCGCAAATCGACATTAAATACGGCGTTTCCTTGGATGGAGTTGCACAACAAACGAAAAAATCATGATCCAAACCTTAAATTTAACCTATTCTCAACTTCCAAATTATGGGGGATTATCTAAAGTCAAATGCACTAGGCAATTATACATTACCCCGAAACTTTAGAAGAAAAAGAGTAAATATTTGTTATTTTTTTGACAGAATCACAACATCCTACATCGGTGTTGCCAATGCGAATTACGCTAAGTAGAGCATAGGAGCGAAATTGCGCTATGTTAGTTAAGGCAAAAGATTACCACGATTAGTTATCCTTATGTGCGATAGTACGTATTATGATATAGTATTATTATAATATAGTACATATTATCATAATATAGTACATATTATGTACGATACGTACTCGATCTTTTTAGATATCAAATATCTTAAGTTAATTCAACTGGTAATTGAATGAAGGCAGCCATTCTTAATGTTTATCGCTACACCAGTAAAATATATGATAGTAGAAATATTTGTCCTGCCGGTAATGTACCTCTAATATATCAAGTCCTTTATAATTCTATATCCATATGCTAATATTAGCCTATAAAGGTGAGTCGGTTGTGGATGCCATTCAAATGACAAAAACCGCTACGTGATTCTAGCAGAAGGTGCTATTTTGTCGTCAAGGTTATATAACAAAATCGCATGTTTTTTCTCTGCAACTTACAAAAAAAAAAAAAAAAAAAAAAAATGCTTTTGAAATGATAAACAAGAACTGATATATCAGTACTGCACGATATCAAGTGCACGCACACACACATGTGAGCGACTTTCTGCGCGTATGCTAATTTTCTTCCGCAGTTTCTGAGTATGTATAAAAGAAAAAAAATCACACGCACACACACACACACACACACACACACACATACACACACACACACACACACACACACACAACACATATATATATATTATATATATATATATATATATATATATATATATAATATATATATATATAAATATATATAAAATAATATATATATTATATA